TTATTTAAAAAATAATATTTTCAGTTGTTTAACAATTTTTCTGCCAAAATAAGTACCTTAAACATCCAAATCTAATACTTTCCAAGAAAAAAATCGTATTGAAAGTGAGAGTTTACAATATTTCACACTCTTTTCTCAATAAAATATCTCTTCTACACCAAGCGTAACACATTCTCAAACTTTATTGCCATATTTGAAGTCACCATTGAGTTTTTAGTGCTCCGACTTTCTAATCATTTATATTTATTTTTATTTTTTTTTGCATTTCAGTTAGTATACTAAGTATCTTAATTCTAAGTTGTTAATTGAATTGTCACACTAATTGTTGAAAGAAAACATAAATACACACATACTTATGTGTATTTATATCCACTTCTATATGCATATATATTTATATGTCTAAAGGAATAAAGCCATAAACCAATTATGTTACACTCTGGTGGGCATTCAGCTTACACCGCTAGACCTTGGCAAGGCAATAAACACTTTTTCACTTTATCTTCTTTTAATTGTACGCCCATCTACTTGAAGATTTTCACTAACGCATCGGCTGTCAACAAAAACATTAGCAACAACTAAATTAGCTCAGAAGTACACACATCTGTAGATACATATATATTTAGGTACATATTTATGTACTTTGATATGTGGGTATTGTGCTTTCAAGCTGCAGGCTTATATTTGTTATTCGGTAGTAAGCTAAATAAAAGTAAAAAATCTAAGCTTCATATATACATATAAGTATGTATAGCGAGAATGAGTATATGGTGTAAATGTAGAGTATTTATGCTTTCTTTTGTTTACTATTTACTACTTTTCGGTAAGTTAGAAACAAACTTACTTTCTGATAACGGAATTATTCTATTTATAATTATTAAAGTATTTAAAAATATTTATTTATATATATACCTACACAAAATCGCTATCTTTTGTGTTCACCTTAAATACCCTCTACCTAATCCATTAGAATGATAACAAATATAAGAAGCATACTAGACTTGCAGTATTTTTAATTATTTTTTTGTTTTGTTTCATCCTCGAACTAAACTAAATAATAAAATACTACTGCATTAAAAATAACAAGAGGTTATGAGGTAACAAGGATTTACGGACTTCAAAAAAAAAATTTATTGTCTCATTAAATTCTGCAGCACCTTTAGAATATTGGCCTAAAGTTTTAAGTTATTTCGAGTAATAGTTTCGGAGATACAGCCTTCAGAACTTGTGCGTCTTCAAACCCGTTTTTCTCGATACTGTTTTTTTGAAGTCGGTTTGAAAGATTTCTCCAGAACTACTCAACCGATATTCATGAAAGTTTATCCAGGCCTTTGAGGTACAATTCTTAAAAGCTTGTACGAAGGATTTTTTTTCGATTACAACTATTTGAAAAGAAAAGCCCCGAAATTTTCACTGAAATTTTCATTTTTTTTTTTATTTGTTAAAATATCTGCCAAAAATCCAAATTTTCTGTTTTTTTCCCCCAGTACAGAATTTCTTTATTAATAGTAGTAACTTTTCATGCGCTTTTGCCATATTATGGTCGTAATACAAGGGCAAGTGCTGCTGTAGACCGCAGTTTATCGATTCCAAGACGTTCTCTAGAATTTGGACTGTCGCAAATCCCAACCTGGTGGAATAGGGAAAGGATTTGAACTTGATCCCATATAAAATTGTTCTCACTCAAGAACTGAAGGCATTGGATCACCATAAACGTCGTGAAATTGCTGATTGTGCCTTAGAACAACTTGAAAACGATAACGATTTTTTTAAGGAAATCATCTTCCTCATGCCTCGCTTTCATCTGAGGTGGGAGTAAATAAATAAAACTGTTGATTATGATGCAAAGAAAATCCACAAATTATTCATGAACAACCATTACATTCACCTAAATTTACAGTTTGTTGTGTTTTTGCTCTGGTGGAATATGCGATCAGTACTTCTTTCGAAATTAAGCTGGTGACACCGTTACTATCTGCCAATGAAGACCGGTATAGGTCAATGATAACCAACTTTTGATGGCCGCTATTGGAAGAAGTTGATCTTGACAATATCTGGTTTCAAAAAGACGCGGCTCGTGCCCCGTTTGGAGATTTGCTTATTACAAGAAATTGTAACATTGAACGACCTCCAAGAAGTTCTGACTTAACGCTATTAGACTGCATTCTGTGTGGTTATTTATAGTCATTGGTCTTTAGAAATAAAGCAGACTCTCTTCAAGCTTTGAAATTCTTGATTTAGTGGGAAAAAGAACTCGAAAATCGGGTTCATAGAATTCGTTGAAAAAGAAGGAGTATCTGGAGGTAGCTTCCTGTGGATTATGTACAAAATTTAATGAAAAGTTGTCACCAAAGAGATACGGCTATAATAAAGCTTGTGGCTGCCGGAATAATGACATATCATCATAAAATGCAAAACAACGTAAAATCCAAAAATAGAATTTTAGTTTTTTATTGCTTACGATTCACTACATTATATCACATATACTTATGTAGTATAACATTTTCAACTTCCACTGTCAAACATAACCAATATATAACCGACGTATAATCAACATATGACCATTTTATAACCAAAACTCAATTTTTTTTCAATGTGACTGGTTTATATTATAAAATTTTTTCTTCTCCTGTAAACATAGTAAAGTGATGTTACGTTATTTTGCATTTTAGGTGACGATATGGAGTTCAAACTTCACGCAAACATACTACATACTATATTTGTACATTCGGTTTGCACGCCTAGTTTAAATAGACCAGTCCGTGTCAAATTTGATCAGCTGGTATACAATTGGCAAAACTAACTTTATCTGTAATCGCCTATTTATTGATGTATAAGAGCGGTTAATACAGTTAGAATTTTGTTGTTTGTGATTTTGTTCATTTTGCTTTTCGTTCCAAACTTATTTCAGACTGTTGCATATTTTCTTCATTCTTGATTTTCTATTTCATTGTAAGCCCCGCTCACCACTGCGTGCGAGTAAGCAACTAGTTTAATGATTTGACGTTGCTTTTGTTTTCATTTCCTAGTTAGTTTTTGCTGTTATTTTGATTTTGTTGGTTTCTTTTTAAAACCATACAAAACTAAGCATAACAACAACATCAGTTACGTACAGATTATTTGCATACATATTTATATGCAAAGAAACACACATACAAATATTTATGTAAATATGACTGGGTATAAATATGTATATATGAATATGTATATGATGTATGTATAGTATATGTAATTTATATGCATGCATATATGTAAGTATGTATAATTCATATAATCTCACTGCTATAATGCAGACCACATTGCTGGTAGCCATAGCCATGAGCAGCATTGAGGTGTCAGTAGCCATCAACGCCATCGGCAACGAAGTTAATGACGCTGCTGTTAGCAGCTGTGATTTCACACTATACACACAGACAGACGAAAACATTTCTAGTATTGCACGCGGTGGTACGAGTGGTGGAGAAAGAAGGTGTTAGGCTTTTGAATGGCTGACTTACTCACCTACTAATGGCTTATGCTCACTAGTACATGGGATTCACGACAACAACAAAAACAAAACCAAAACAACCAAAAACGTAAAATACAAAAACAAGGCAACAAAAAACGTAAAATACAAAAAAAAACATATATTACAACAACAAGCCGTACATTACAAAAACAACAAAATGCGCTTCTTAAGCAACAGCAAGCTGAAAGCATAACTCACTATGCTAATCTTTCTATGAAACAAAATTTTCGGTGCGTGTTTATGTGTGTGTGTGTGCATAACAAAGGTGAGGCAGAGTTGCTTTTGTGCGCTTGTGTGCGTATAGGGCGGTAAATCGCTTGTTTCGACTTTTCTACGCGACGGTCATTAAGCGAAAGTGCTGCCATCGCAACATTGCTGTTAGCGACGTGTACATTGTTGTTGTTGTAGATAAGTGAATATGTGTGTAAAAGCAAAACGGCTAACAGACAGCAAAATACAACAAGAAATACAATAAAATGTACAAAGCTTTGATAAAACAGCTGCGGCAATACGCAATAGTGAAGTACGAGTCCAATAAAAACAGCAACAACACACAAAAAACACTAAAGATAGATATAAACATGAAAATAATAATACCAATAATACTAGTACGAGTGTGTTCTGCATAACACAAAAAAAAAATAAATAACAGCAACAAATACAACAACAAAACGGGAAAACGCAACAACAACTACAAAAATAACCGTTTCCACATAAAAATTTAAATATCATTTCCTGATCATTATAAAGAATATGTTGATATCTATATGCTAGTGTGTGTAGTTGTAAATATCTAGACTCAGATTTTGCCATTAAAGCAGCGAAGTAGAAGTGTCGGAAACGTGATTCTTATTAAATGAAAAAAAAAACTTAGGCGGCCCTCACCCAGCACTATCGCTTGCTAAACGTTGTTTTTGTTGTTTGAAAGTTTAGTAATAGCAAAACGCGCAGTGGGTCAGCCTTAAATGCAACAGTTCACCGGCTAGTCATTCCACAACTGTATCGAAGCAGTCTGTTGCTTCTTTACAAATGTTCAGAGCGAAGAATTCAAGAATCTATGTCAACCGTTGTTTCTTTTTGTGTTTCAGATTACTGTGGGATTTTCTCTAACTTTTTTATGCTTGTTAAACAGTATTTATGTGCGCTTAGAAAGCAAAGAAACGAAACTTGTAGATTTTCAATATGTTTTATATTTTTAAATAAATTTTTTAGAAAGATTTGCTGCGTGCTAAAATCAGCGCTGATCTTTATTAAATTGCGGTTCAAAAGCGGAAACTTTCATTTGCTAATAGCAGATAATTTAATATATTGTTCTCGAAAATTTAATAGTAATACGTGATAACAATATATGACAATTATGGTGCTGCTTCAGTAAACAAAAAAATTAAACTTTTTAAAAAAATATTAAAAAATGTTTAATCTTTTAAATAATATATATTTATTTCATAAAAAAATATAATTTACTAATTTTCGTACATAACTGTTTTTTTTTAAGGCTGATTTAATACATGAATTTCGACCGAGATCGATGGATGGCGTCATTGACTCATCTTCGGGCTCATTAAATGGTGATACCAATGGATCAAGTCCAGATAGTGCGAGTCATTTACAAAATCAGCAGGTAAGTGCCAAAAAATATAAAAATAATACGTTTGATTCACATATTGTCTGTCTTACCTGTAAAAATGTATCTGAACCACTGGTAACTTCTAAAGTAGGTAGATATGTAGATAGATAGAGAGTAATTGAGGTTTTACACTGCGACGTATAGTCTATCGTGCCTCTCCTATATCAGATATGGTCACAAAGTTTCAACACTCTGAACACTTCCAGGTGCTTACTGGGCTCGTTGAAGGTGGTGTGCTCTGTCCACATAGATGTATCCAAGGTCTTTGAGCCTGCTTCTTCGAAATTGCTGGGCAATCTAGAATCAAGTGTTTTGAAATTACCCATGTTGAACAAGTCGTTCTTGAGCCTCCATTACCCAATATAGAGCGGGACAAGAAAAAAAAATTTGTCTCGGCGGAGGTGGATCATATCTCTAGCCCTAGCAATAACTTCTGATTGAAATATGATCGGAAAATATCCCATTGGTATGCGGTCACGCAATCAATTCCGGTGTTTTCGAGTCGGCAGTATACCACTGGATAGTTCTGCCCCTCAATAGTACGTCAAGCGTGGAATCACTCCAAATTAAACTTCTGTTTGAAGTTTATAATCTTCGTAACGCTGTCTCTAGAAGACGGACTAGTGGTGTAGCTTCTTCTAAGGCCTTCATTTGTTGTGAAAACATTATCTTCCCCTTCCTTTTGATCACTAGATAAAGCGGTGTGAGCTCCACCATGAGTGCTGCGGTTGGGCAAGTGCACATTGCACCTGAAGCGCAGCCGCAGGTAAGTCTTTGCAGCTTATAGTTAAAAGTCTACGGTAGACTGAGTTGCTTACCTTTGATGCCCAAGCAACCGCTTCATAAGTAACAATATGCCTTACGAACATGGTGTACAGCCAACTGATGATACCTGACTTCCAGCCCCAGGATCTACCGGCTGTGCGTCTGTATATTATGTGTGCCGTGGTGGCTCTGGACAGTGTTAATTCCACATGAATATTCCACTGTATGGTTGAGTCTAATGTGAGGCCTAGAAATTTATGAGCTTTGCTTATGAGCAATTCAAGGACCTCATTTATTAGTATGCTCCATAGTTGAGGGGATAGAACACCACCCTGTGGGCAGCCCCTTCATAGTCTAAACTGGAAAGAAAATATATCAAGATGTGACCTATCCAACCCAATCACGTTAAGAAAGTCCAACAATGTCTCTTTCCAGATATATTCTCACAATAACTTTACTGCTTCTACTTGCAATTTTACGGACCTAATTCCCATATTGTGCATATACCTTATTCAGTATTTGCAAATATGTGACACTAATAATTGCCTTAATTTGACTTTGGCGAAAGCAATTACTTGTCTGAGCCTTTTCATATTGTATACTTCTCTAACCGAAGTTTAGACATTTGCAACCAGATTAAGTTAATATAAGTATATGAAATCTCGGAGCTTAAATATATTATTGTACCTAACCCTAATCCAATATATGTACATTCTGAATCTGCGTTCGAACTTCCAAAAACTATCTGCCACATTTTTTGTGAATCTTTTGGAGATCCAAACCTTAAATTTAGATTATTGTCCACCATTTTCCAAGAATGTGCATAAATTTTATATAAAATAATCACATGATGTTATGGTGTTCATGGCTTAAATTGAACCGGCTCAGCAATATTCTACTCATTACTAAATAATTGGTATTATTTTTCCAGGACGCTGAAGCGCGACGCGTACATCGAGGTCATGTACTCACCGAACTACTGGAAACAGAACGGATTTATGTAAATGAAATGGCCTCTATTCTAAAGGTATGCGCTTAGATTGTACTTAGATATTTACAGTGGTATTATAATTACTGCTTTATTTCATTAATAAAAAGTTATTAAAGCAGTATGATGATAATATAGAAGGTGTGGTAATTGAATAACTAAATTGATGCTGGAAATGTTTTGTTGCGATTGGATTTATTTATATATTCTTTAAGAAAACATTTACTGTATATACGCAGAACAGCTTTTTACGTTTAATTTATCATGCGAATAAACTATATTTCTAGTACAAGTAAAATATGGGTGCTGGTACTCCCAGCTGTTTCCGAAAACCAGTTTTTCAGGCCTTTCTCACATCCAATTACATGAAAGTTTGGTTTATCTGTCCGCTCGTTCGTAATTTTTTTTTTCACCTGGGTTCAATCGTATTAAAAAAAAAAATTCAAGATCGAAAGCTTACTTCTTTGTTTTCATCATGATTTCAAATAAAATGTTTTAAGCAGAGGTGAAACAATACCAAAAGCTCGGCCAGGCTCGGAAAGGAGCTCGTCCAAGCCGTTCGATACCAAATGATGATTCAGAGAAGGCGACTCCCTATCATGCGACTTCATCAATCTACTCCTGGAGGAAATTATTAGAAAATTAGGCCTCAACAACCGCGCCGTTAGTTCTGCTACATTGACATAGTTCAGCGATTAAAGAGACAGCGGCTCCGCTGGCTAGGTCATGTCATCCGAAAGGACGAAAACACTCCAGCTCTGAGAGTATTCGATGCAGTACCCACCGAGTAAAGCAAATAAAAAGGAAGACCTCCACTCCGTTGGAAAGAACAAGTGGAGAAGAACCTGGTTACACTCGAAATCTCCAATTGAATCCAATTCAAATTGAATTTTAATAAAACGTAATACTGATTACAAATTAAGCCTCCTTTTTGAAGGTTCAGAGTCTTCCCTAGAATTACCATGTTCTTATGTTTTGACAATTTGTTTGATGTTCAACAAATGAAGAAGGATAATGGACTTCCTAAACCTAACAAATGCTGTAAACCGCGATGCTATTGTAGCTCCGTCAGCAATATTATTTCATAGCTACACCTCGTATCTTGTTTTTATATAAGAAAACAGACTTGCTGGGGCTCATAACCGATTATGTGGCGGTTAGCATAACAAACTTAAGGAAACCATGATCATGACCATGACCATATTGCATGCAATTAATTAGCCAATATTTGTGGGCATAATGCAAGTTGGTCAGCAACCGGTCGGCCGAAAACATTGCAAGCGGACAGGGGGAAAAAAGAACCAAAATATAACGGTAAACACCTCTTAATCGCACCGGCAAAGCACAATAAAAAGTAAGTAAGTCAACGCGGTTATTTTTCTCGCCGGCTTTATTGGCTTCGCCTACAGTTAACAGTTTCTGCCACAGTTGAATGCCTGCGGTTGCAATTAGTGCATTAAATATGAGCATAATTTTCCACTTGCCACCGGCAGGCAATTTGCAAAAGTAGAATTCGTTTACGGCAAAAATTGCTAAGCACACAATAATATTGAGATCTAAGGCATTTTAGTTGAACATAAGTATTTTATTTCGCATTTAAGCACCGCGCCGAACAGTCGTACCGAGTCGGAAGTTGCTAGATTCGAAATATTTATACAGTTCTTGCTTAGTACTTTGGCAAACAAGTTGTATAATTCAACTTGCAAAATATGCGTTACGGCGGTTATGATCTCCGTAAGGCATCAAAATCGAAATCGCCCTCATCGCACGGCTCCTTGCGGCTGAAGAAAGTACAGAATACCGCCTGCAACATAGTCGGGCGCTTCAATTTGAAAATCAGCGATTCACTGAAGGCTTTTCAACGCCAGCGCACGCATTCGAATTTCTGCGAGTCGCCCGTGTCCTTTCGCGGTTCACTCTTCGAACAACAAGGCAGTGCGGGCAGTTATCGTGCCACGCCCACGACCAGCACCTACAGCATCAGTTACAAACCCACTGAGCCGCGTACGAATCGTTATCGTTACGAACGTTCTTCAGCTACCGACGACAGTCACTCGGCAAACAATAGCTCACCGCAGAATTATATTTTCGGCACGAATTTATGTAACTTCTCAACACACAATCTGCTTAACGGTAAATCTACAATCAAAATCATAAACACTTTTAAAGAGCTCGAAGCACAACAGAGCTTAACCGATAGCGCAATCGTGTCGAATAGTTTGCAGCGTTTGAAGAACGATCGTAAGACGATATTTAAAGAGCTCATTGAACTCTCGAGCTGCGACGAATCGCTCGAATATCGCCTAGTCAAAGACTACTTGGAGTACAACACGTACTCGGAGATCGAAAACGACGCGGAGTTCAAGGAATATTTGCAACGTAAAAACTACAACGACATACTGGATTACCTAGATGAGGCGCAGTCGCGAAGTCTCACGTCGATCTCGTCGTCGGTAGCACGCGCTCAATCAGCGTTGAGTAAGCACACATTGAGTCGCACCAAATTGTTAGCCACACCGAAGTCATTGCATTTCACCGACAACGATACATGGCAATTCAAGGGAAAACTTTGTCAGTCGTGTCGCACAAGTGTGGACTGCAATGAGGCGCTTAAGTGGTCAACGTGGCGTCCTCCAAACAACAGCGACACAACATCGCATAATCCGATATATGAAGGTGCTGAAAAGCAGCAAACTCCAAAGAGAGTTAATGCGCAAATTGGCGAGCCAAACTTTTTCGCCAATTCCTACAAAGAGACTTTGAAGTTTTGTCAAGAATTCTTCGCAGAGAGTTTGGAAGTAAAGTCGGGCTTCAAATTACCAAAATACAAGAACACGAAGTTCGATCAGACCAATTACGAGCGTGTCTTGCGGGAATTCGTCGGTGCGCAGGGATTCGCGAATGTTAACGAATATGTTGAGGCGAAATTCGGGCAGTTCTTCAGCGCCGAATTCGATAGAATAGTTGAAGATAAAAATTGGAACGCGGAAATTAATCGAAATATGGTATAAAAAGTTTTAAAGTAAAACAAATTGAAATATTTTAAATAAATATTTTCATAAAGAATATTTTCTCTTTTAGAATAATTTTTAAATTTTAAAAACTTTTTGTTTTCAAAAGCATATAAATAAATTTAGTCAAGTTTACTTAATTTATATATTTCTATCCTTCTCTTTTAGGGCTATCGTGATCAAATGCTATCTGAAGAAATGATGCATCTTGTACCCGCCAGCCTACAAGGCAAAGAGGATATACTGTTCGGCAATTTAAACGAATTATATACGTTTCATAATGAGATCTTTCTTAAGGATCTGGAAAATTGTATATCAACAACAGAGTTGGTGGCGCTATGTTTTGTTCAGCGGGTAAGTAGAAAGGAGTTTGAAATATTACTGAAAACAGCGACGCTTTCGAACTTTCTTCGATTGATTGATGTTGTAAACCATGAACAATTGAAACTTTTATAACTCTTAGAGGTATATACTTAAGACCACGTGCTTTTATGGTTTGATATTTAGTGAATGTTTATCTTTGAATAGTAAAGGATAACCAAGCTTTCGGAACCGCAAGTTGAAGAAACTTGGTTCACTGAGGAAGCAATTTTTGTATTTATGAATTGAAATTTGAAAATTAGTACTTCCAGGAATTTCTGGGAGACAATCCTTTGAAATATTTAGATTGAATTGCGTAGGCATTAATACAAAGAAGATCTATTTAGAACTCTCAACTACAGAAAGTATTGTCGATCAGTGTATACTGAGTTTATAGCGGATTTTCTCAAGACATGACTTTACTCATCTATAGCTCGCGTTGTATAAGTTACAATGATTCTGGTACTGCAACAGCCAATCCTAAGTAGTTTTGTAAATGCTCTATTTTGGTTGTTCACGAGCTAAACATTGCACAAAACACCATTTGGATCTATTTCAAGAAGACTGGCTATAAAAACTAACTCGAATTTGGGCACCACAGGAGTTAGTGCCAACAAATCTCATGGACCGCATTTACAAATCAGTATCGCTGCAAAATCGATCGATTTCTGAAGGCTATGGTTCTTCTTCCTCACTGGTGTAGGATGGAGTCCTGTGTAGAAGTTCACACAAGTGAGGAAAGTTCTCTGATTGCCATTCACTTGGGAGTGGCAATAACCGATTATATTTTATACGGCTCAATGAGTTCATGACTTCCTGTTTTAAACAAAGTATCCTCTGGGTATCCAAAGAATATCCGTTTAAAGACGAGCTAAAGAGAGAAGGCGAACCATCACTAGCTAGGGTTATGCGCTGGGTTTTTGACTCACCATGTAAAAAACGCATCCAATGATAACAAAACAACAGCCTGGAAATTAAGCGTATACTTACTGTTGATGAATGGTCATAACCGAATCGCGATAAGAACACAGAGAACCACATATACCGACAACATTGTACCGTTTGAAATAAGCAATCTCCCAGAAGCGGGCAGCCTTAACTAATGGCAGAGGAGTTATGTGATATTAGGACAATGCTAGGCGACAAAACAGCGTTAGTAACTCTCTTGAAGCTCTGTAGGTTTGGTTGCGGGACTCCTATGTGATCACCTTATAGTTCAGATCTGGTATCAGGTTATTACTTCTTGATTTTTCTGGAGAAAATCTTGGGAAAAGAGAAGCTTGAGTAAATTTTAGAATTTTGGGGCATTATTGTCTGCTTTTCTTATAGTATCATTATTACTCCTACTGATTATTTGTGCTCTGCTCATCTCTCCTTACAGCGCGACACCTTCTATCGTTTGTACTCTTTCTACTGCCAAAATATACCGCGCTCCGATCGATTGCGCGAGACACTGGTCGATACACATCTCTTCCTGCAAGAATGTCAAAAGCGTTTGGGGCACAAACTGCCTTTGGGCGCGTATCTGCTGAAGCCCGTGCAACGCATTACCAAGTACAAATTACTGCTCGAGAATTTGCTCAGCTCCAGCGACAGCGGCAGCTGCACCAAAGAATTGCAAAAAGCTTTAGATTGCATGCTGATTGTGTTGAGGTGTGTGAACGACTCGATGCATCAAGTGGCTATAACGGGATTCCCGGTAAGTAAATGCGCAGAGCTGATTGCTTGAGTGTGGAATAAACATTTTTATCACTTTTTTATTTCTCTAACTTACAGAGCAATCTTTCGCAACAAGGCGAACTGCTGCTGCAGGATCCCTTCCAAGTGTGGACCGAGTCGAAAAAGGATTTGCGACTGCGCAAGAAACCGCAACAACGACACATATTTCTCTATCAAAAGTCGATGATTTTCTGCAAGAAAACCTCAAAGCCCGGTCACAACAAGAGCACTTATCAGTTCAAGCATCAATTAAAGGTACGCAAAGAGGCCTAATGCTAATTTGAAAGTTTCACTTTGATTGAGTATTTTCATTACTCTCACGCTCTCTTTCTCTCACTCACTCTCTTTCTGTCACTTTTAAATTTTCTTTCTTCCTCAACCACTCGCAGATGTCACAAATCGGACTCACCGAATCGGTACGCGGCGATTCCACACGCTTTGAAGTCTGGCTGCAAGGACGCCAAGAAGTCCACACGATACAAGCGCCGGGCGAGGAGGTGAAAAACAAGTGGGTCACAGAAATCAAACGTTTGCTACTCAACCAGCTGGAAGAGCTGAAGGGTGAGAAAATCAAACAGTACAGCATGAATCATCATGGCCTCAGACAGACCACCTCATGGGATACGCCCAACATACTGCTGGGCATGCCGCAGCGCGCCGTTAGCTGCGATGCATCTTCAGAATCGTCGAATCGCAACTCCAACTGCAGCAGTAGCGGTGATGATGCCTACCCGCACGGCATGCCGCAACTGAGCACGACGACGGGCAATGGCCATGCGCATGCCAACGGCGGTAGTGGCGTGGATAAAGAACAGCAAGAAGCATGCGGCTGGAGCTCAGACTACTCGAACAGTGAGGACGAAATGTCGATCATTGAGGATAACAGCGCGCCGGTAAGTTAGCCATGTTCCGTTATAAGCTTAAGGTTAGGCAACATAGGTGCGCAACTTATGTTTGCACATTTTGCTATTTCTATACATGCTACAGCAGACAATTTAAAAACCTGCAAATACATTTTTGGAAGGAGCGAAGTTATTTTTCTATTATATTTTTATTTATTCGAATTTTATAAAAATTTCTATTATTATAGAAAGTTTTTCTTATTATCTTAGAAATTAATATATTTTTGGTTTTGGTATCGATGTAAATTTTGTTAATTATTTTTAAAATTTATTACTTTAGTTTTGGTTTTGTATTATTTAACTGCTTTATTTATCTAATTTTTGTAATTTGTTTCTGTTTTTTTTTTTAATTTTTCTTCTCATTTTCTGTTTGTTTTATTGTTACTTTTCGCATATTCATCCATCATGTTGCATAGTTTCTTCTACTATATGTTTTATATTATTTGTCTTATTTAATTTTTTTGGGTTCTCTTTTTTACTTTCATGCACAAAACACTTTGTCTTAAAATATTCCAATAAAACCCACTGCAATTGCAAAATGCAACCCTGTACAATTGAACATAAAAATGGTGTCGTGTAACTTGTAAAAATGTCTATAAAAATGTTTGTAAACAAAAATTAAATTACAAAAAAAAATAATTTAAAATTTAATGCACTCGGTATAAAAAATTATTTAAAACAAATTATAAAAAACTAATAAATATGTATAAAATTATAACAAATTAAAAATGCTTAAAAAATAATTAAAATATTTGGTTTTTTTACATTAATTTTTTTTAATATTTTAATTAATTTTTTATTAAATTTTTTAATAATTTTTTAAATACTTTATTTAATTAATGCACACAAATTTAAAACATATATTCAATATGTCGATTTAACAACTTTTAACATATTTTTTATGCGAAAAATATCTAAAAAAAAATAAAAATACAAATAAATCTAATCACTTATTTATCAAAATTTT